TGAGCCCAGGAGTTTGAGACCAGCCCTGGCAACATAGCCATAGCCCATCTGTGTTTTTAAAAAAATTTTAAAAATTAGCTGAGCATGGTGGTGCACACCTGTAGTCCCAGCTACTTGGGAGGCTGAGGTGGGAGGATCACTTGAGCCAGGGAAGTCAAGGCTGCAGTGAGCCATGATTGTGCCACTGCACTCCATGGTCTCAAAGTAAATAAATAAATGAATAGAGAGAGAGAGAGAGAGTCCTGAGATTGAAATGTTTGATAGCCACAATGGAATTCCTTATTTTCTTCGAGCTTTAACCCCTTCTCTAAGAACAATATCTCCTTTCCCAGAATTATTGTGAAGATTAAATATTTCAGTTTGCCAGCCACTGTGATTCCAATTATTTGCTATCACATATGGGGCTGTGCAAAACAACACCCCTGTGCATGCCTCGACACCCACATCTTTCCTGTTCCAGCCTCAAGACCACGATGACTTTAGAATGGGGGCTACTATTACTACTACTACCAGGAGGGCTGCAGAGCACAAGGTTGGGATCCAAAAGACATGTGCTTACTCGATATGCTTGTGAAACCACTTACCCCCCGAGTGCCCCGGTTTCCTCATGGATAGTAGGATAATCACATCTCCTCGCAGAATTTGCTGTGGACGACGGATATGGTAGGAGCAAACGATCCTTCCGCCTTGGCCTCCTAAAGTGCTTTGTAAACTAGGAAGTGCTGCGTGGTTACCTATTTTGACGTTATCAGTGTGGGTGGAGAAGAAAGGCAGAGGAGCGCAGGTCTCCAGGGAGGAGAGGGGTGGGCTCTGGAAGGTGCCTTTCTGTGTGCCAGTGTGCTGATGACCTGGGCTCCAGGAATCATAGCAACAGCCTCTACTCCCTGGAAAGTGCCGTGGTCTCTGCATCAGGCGCTCAGAGTCAGGACCCAGCTGCAGGCAGGGCTGTCTGTGCTTACCGGCTGTGTAGTCATAGGCAAGAGCTCCACGGCCTGCCTGATTGGCGGTGATCAACCCTGCTGCACCTTAGAATCTTACGAGGAACATTAACAAGTGCTGATGCTGGGGCCACACATCTGACTCACCACACCTGACCCTGGAGGTGGACCTAGGCCTAGGAATGTGTAGCATTGAGAACCACTGGACTTTTTTTTCCTGTCAGTTCATCCTACTGACCACAAGATGGTGCCCTATTTCTGGGAAATCTTTGATGTTCACCAAACAACAATTAATTTCTGTATTAATCCTGAAAACAAGGATTTGAATTTAACAACCTTCTCCAGCATCTCATTAAGCCAGACCCATGTGCTCTTGGTGTCTAGCCATTTAATATCTTTTCCCTTCTGTTAGAAACCAGTGGTTGGAATGTGTCTTCTGTTTTGCGTTCCTCAAAAGGCTATGACACAAAGTAGAAAGTAGGATTTATGATCATAATCATTAGTATCAATGACAACTGATGTTCGTTTAATCGTTTAATCCTTTGCCATTTGCAAAGCGCTTTTCACCAACAATCCTCACAGTAGCTCTATGAAATGGGCATTATGATTCCTATTTATAAGATGACACAACTGAGGCTCAGAGCACTATCTTGGTCGAGGTCACAAAACAATAATTAGCAGAACTGAATTTTCCAATGCCGGATCTCGAGCCCTTCCCACTGCATCATTAGAGACAAGCAATCAACCACCGGGAACCAGAAAGTACAGCCCTGAGATAGGAAAATTCTCAGCACGACATCCGGAAAGCCCCTTAGGCAAGCAGGCAAGACAGACTGATGGCTCCATGCAGCACAGATGAAAGGCCGGCGGACAGGCATGTTTGACTGGACCGAGTGACCAGCGGGGGTAACAGATGTGAGGGTCCTAGTGAGCTGCTGGACTGAGTCAGTAGACACTCGACAAGACGGCAGATTTTAACATTTGTAATTTTCTATTCCAGAAAAATGAACTGCTATATGCCAATAGGGAACATTCATCTTAATTCTGACTGTATAAGAAGTTATAAACTCATTTCCAAAGAAAATCCTTTCCTACCAGCAAGTGACGTCTTTTGAGATTAGTAAATCTAATAAAGGTAACTTACAGACTTGCTGCAAGACAGATTCCCGTAACTGAACAGGAACCCAAATGTCAGGGACCCAGGCGCCCAATCCTTCTGCATGTTTTTAATCTCAGATAAAGCAGCCGTCAAGTGTAGGTTCCAGTTACATGGACCAGCAATACTGTTTTCAGGACAGAGGCAATGAAATGGAAAATTTAATATGTTAGCACTTTGCTAATTTTATTGACTTCAGCATATATCTTAGCAATTCAGGATTCTGCTTTAACTGTGTTCTGTGTCTCAGCTTCCCTGTCTATAAAATGATTATAATGGCACCTATCTCATAAGACTGTTACATGGATCAAAAGAGTTTATTTATAAAGCACATAGAACCATGCCCAGGACACAGAAAACATGATGTGTTTCTTAAATAAATAAATGGATATGAGCACATCCACTTATTTTACAAGTGAAATTTTAATTTTTTTCAATATTCCAACTAATTTTAAAATTATGTTATTTGCACATTTGTAAGCACAGGAAATATATATACATTAAGAAGATAAAAATATTGCCTTATTATTAAAATTTGAAGTCCCACTGAAAAGGCATAAATTTGATTAAAATAATGCTACAGTCTTTTCGGCCTCAGAAATAGGTTAAAAATTACTTAAGTCCATCCTGTTTTTCATCTCAGGATTAGTGATATCAGCAAATAAGCTCATACACTGCGTAAAGAAATACGAGAAGTGATAAGATTTTTCTTTTTCTTCTCTAAGGAAAGCTTTCCTTTTTCTCCGCTTGACCTCTGTTAAGTCTGGGAACCAGTGATCAGTTTGGAGAGCACCCTTGGCACATGGTGTTTTCTCCTGACTCTAAAGACATCCCCCGTCTGTGTTTTGAATTGAATGGGAGCTTTCCACAGCACTACTCAGCTCAAACCTCCATCTCAAAGTATACATTTAAAGCATTTCAAAAAAAGAGCATTTGCTGAGAGACTTCTAGGGAGAAAGACTGGAATGCTGAGAATGTGATGGGGCAGGGCTTGGAAGAAAGACAAATTGAAATGTTGCTCTCCAATCTAGGGGTTGCGTTTCATGTTGGCATTACTTTTCTTTTAGTAGAGCTACCGTACTGTTTCCTAGTGATGGCTATTCTTGAAGACTTGGGTTTTTTTCTTGCATGCTATTTTATGAAATAAACTTTGTAGATTTCCAGCCACCATGGAACTCCTTCCTCCCCTCCAGAGATCCAGCCAAAGCCTTCTAGCCCCACTTTCTGCATAACCCTTCTCCCAGCTCAAAGAGCCTCTTCCACTGTAGCCAGTCCCACCAGGCCCCTGGAGCTGGGGAAGAAGATTGCAGACTGGGGACGCAGAAGTGGACACATGCTCCAGTTACTTAGGTGGAGCCTGAGCTACAGTTTTTCCTTCAGAGTTTAAGTTCTTTTGTACCAAAATGACATTATAGGGAAGCTACACTGAGAATTACATAGGCTTCTACACATTGGGACAGCACCCCAACTAACATTACATGATTGTTTCTATGGAAAAATGAAACTTTATTCCCAATATCTGACCTCAAATGAACTTTTATAACATAACAGTTATAAAAGTTATTAAAGTATGTAGAAGAGGGGGACTCTTCTACATACACTCACACTCAGGGACAGTTCTGTCTATCGGTCATACTGTCCATCTATCTATCTATTCACATTATTTTTTTAAAAATTAAGGTACAGAATAATTACCAAAGGAATGGGAAAAGTAAAAAGCTAAGATCTAAAGAATAAAGTTAAACATTTTATATTTACTGAGTTCAAATCAATGGTTCTGTTGTAAATTTATCTTCAACTTCATTCACTGAGTTAAATCAATCAATTTTTAAAACAATCTCTCTTTTTTTTTAAATAGTAAGAGACAGTGTGGTATAAAATATAGTACATGAGTTGTGTAGTTGTAAACTGTGAATCTCAGGTCAAGCTACTTAAGTTTCCCAGGCCTCAGTTTTCTTATCTTTAAACAGGGATTATAATATTCACTTTCTAAGACTATTTTTTTTTAACTGAGCTAATGTAAATATGTAGCATTAAATCTGGCACAAAGTGGTTATTTCCCATCTTTCCTCCCTATTACTTACCCTCTTTGAAATTACTGTGTATCACTTCAATAAAAATATCTTTAAACCACATTTCGTTGACAGAAGGCTTGATTTAAATAAACTCTTCTCTCGGCTTGGGTACTCATCCATCTATCTGCTTGCCTTAATTAGGTTAATGTCTAAAAGAGACTACTGTGATGGATTATTGACTAACAAATTAAATAGGGCCATGCCATGCCACACTACACCTGCCAGGAGATGGCTGGAGTGGCCAAGATATAAAAATTAAAAAATAAATAAATAAATAAATAATAAATAATAAATCAAATAGGTTCAAAGAGCTTACTAATGTTGACCACTGTAATCATTGAAATGACTTACCTCTGCCTTATCTTCCCCTAAATGCTTAATTTTCACTAGATTTTGTGGATTTTATGTTTTTTCTTTTTTTTTCCACACTCATCCACAGCCGAAGATCCACTTTGTGACAATAGTTAGTAAAGCCAGGTTTTACTCAAAGAGGCAAAAAATGAGCTCAGTGAAGGACAAATCAGATTTCCTTTGAAGCAGGCTTGTCAGGCGTTCTTTCCTATTTCCTATTAGGTCCATCTCATGGCAGAGTTGGCAGCAAGGGCGGGGGCAGCATGCTGCAAGGAGAGCAAGTGTCTATGGACAATGGGAAGGAGCCTGCTGTCCACGGGGGTCCAGCCGGCCCCATGCGAGCGAGAGTCTCCTCTGCTGATGGAGTGCCTACGACTCTGACACCCACCCCCCCGCCCACACTCTCTTACTGGTCCCCATTCCTAGTTGCAGAGTTGGTAGTTCTGCCTGCAGATCTGCCTGTTGGCTGGAATTTGACACTTGCTCCTTAATTGATCCCATTATAATTCTCAATGTTTTTTTTTTTTTAGAAAACTCTGTGACCACTTGAGATCAAGTCCTGCCTACTAAGCTTGATCTCAGGGTTAAAAACATATTTTTTTATTATGTAGAAATCCGAAGGCCTACAACATTTACTATAATTCATAACCAAAAAAAAAAAAACCCACATATAAGCCCATATTCTAAAATATTATCCCTTTTAGTTTATATCAGATTGGAAAACTGTCTTTGTTTTGAATTCAAACATAGGGCATTTCTCCCCTGTTATAAAAGATGGATTTCTAACGTGCCACCACCATGCAGCCAAAGCTTAAAGGCGTCCAGACGTCTTGCATTTACTTGTGCATTCAAGGTTCATTCAGGTGGTTTAATGTGAAGCTAAAATGTCTGGTCCTACATTCATTTTCAGGAATGATGATTTTAATTTCATGGTGCAGAAATAAGGCCAAATAAGAAAAAGTAGACCTAAAAATGTTAAGTGTTTAACTTACTAATCCACTAGATCTTTGACAGCAATTTTAGATTAAAATGGTCCAGAGGACAAAGTGCATAATTAATGATGAGAAAATGATTCCTTCAAGTCCCACAATAAGGAGTTCTGCCTGCGTTAACCATTCGTCTAGAGTTTTATTTATGTGAAAGTGACAGTTACTTCTTGGTTCTGTCTCCTTCGTTCCAGTACTGTTCAGTCTGCATTTCTGTGAGTCGGGAAATCGTGCGCTGAAATGCAAAGATTTCCTCTTCTCCAGTAAACATGGAGAGTCCTTCTGCTGAATCCTGGTTATAAAACAAACAAATTAAATTAAAGCCACCACAAATGAAACTTTACAGAACCTAAGCATAGGTTTAAAAAAACTTTTTAGGCCTACCAGTTTAGATTATGCCTTTTTTTAATAACTTTTTTTTTCATATACAATCCCTTAAATGACACTAGAGAGTCAACCAATTTAAACTGCTAGGCAGTAAATATATCAGATTATCAGAGAGAAAACTTAAAAGGGGAAACTTTCTCCAGAAGTATACACCAAAAATAAGTAATGCTAAACAAAACAAAACAAAAAAAACAGTAGTTCTGAGAAGCTAGAAAGAGGCTGGTGTAGGCCTCCAGACAGGGTCCCAGTGCCTAACGGGGAGGCCCTAAGGACAAACCTCTGGAGAGCCTTTTCCAATCCAACCAATGACTAAAGGAGAGCAAATGCGAATGAACAGTGGGTCTGGGTTCTGGAGAATGTGCTTGGGATCTAAACGCCAGGGCTGAAAGCCAGGGCTGTTTTTAGTCTTCAGCTGCTGGGACAATTGATCCCACCATCTAGGACCAAGTTGGGAAGCCCTGTCTCTGTGAGGCTGGTAACCCCAGACTAGTGACACCAACACAGACTCGTGGCCACTACGTGGGCTTGGAATTTTCCTCTTTCCTTAGAGGTTTGCTAGTATGCTTTTTCAGAGAAAAATTCTGGATTCCTAAGTCCATCTTCTCCACTGATTCATTGTGAACCTTCATGACCCTGAGGTCACATTCCCTGATTTCTTCATATATGATTGGCTCTATCTGCTGAGCTTACTTTGCCTTGATCCTAGGGGAATTTGAGACAGGGTCTCACTCCGTCACCCAGGCTGGAGTGCAGTGGTGCCATCTTGGTTCACTGCAACCTCTGCCTTTTGGGTTCAAGTGATCTTCCTGCCTCCGCCTCCCCAGTAGCTAAGATTACAGGTATGTACCACCACACCTGGCTAATTTTTTATTTTTTATTTTTTGTAGAAATGGTGTTTCACCATGTTGCCCAGGCTGGTCTTGAACTCCTGAGCTCAAAGCAGTCTGCCCACCTTGGCCTCCCAAAGTACTAGGATTACAGGAATGACCCATTGCACCAGCCTAGGGGAAAAAAATTTTAAGAGCCAATGATGTAAACTATACCAACCTTTTGGCACCAGGCACCAGTTTCGTGGAAGAGAATTTTTCCAGGGACTGGGGGCAGGAGGATGGTTTCGGGATGAAACTGTTCTACCTTAGATCTTAGGCATTAGATTCTCATAAACAGCGTGCAACCTTGATCCCTTGCACATGCAGTTCACAACAGAGTTTGCAGTCCTCTGAGAATCTAATGCTGCCGCTGATGGGACAGGAGGCGGAGCTCAGGTGGTAATGTTTGCTCCTCCACTGCTCACCTCCTGCTGTGAGACCTGGTTCCTAACAGGCCACAAACCAATACCAGTCTGCGGTCCAGGGGCTGGGGGGCCCTGATGTAAAGGACTTTAGAAACTGAGGTGATGTAGCTCCTCAAGTGTATTCTTTCAAATTGTCAAAGACAGTATTTGGATGTAAATATTGCTCTTGGAGAACCAACATTTCAAATGATCCCAGTACAGAGATTTATAAGCAGCTATTTATTTCTACACTGCTATGGTCTGAATGTTTGTGTCCATCCAAAATTCATATGTTGAAATCCTAACCCATAAGGTGATAGTATTGGAGGCGGAGCCTTTGGGAGTTGATTAGGTCTTGTGGGTGGAGCCCTAATGAATGGGATTAATGCCTTTATAAAAGATGCCCCAGAGAGATCCCTCAACCCTTCCACTGTGTGAGGTTTATACAGAAAAGACAGAGGCTTATGAACTAGGAAGTGGGCCTTCACCAGATGGCACCCTGATCTTGGACTTCCCAGCCTCCAGAACTGTTAGATACTGTTAGAAATAAATTTCTGTTGTCTGTAAGCTACCCAGTTCATGGTGTTTTGTTATAGCAGACTAAGACATACACATAGGTTTAAGTCATCATATTGGAAAGTTCACTTTCTAAACAGGCCTCATTCTCCCAAACTCCTGAAAATGCCTCATTTCTACTCAGGTTGATAAGGAATTGTTTCCTTGTTCCAGGCAGTCTTTCACCTGTGGGGCTGGAAGAATTGGGCTCCCCTCAGGGGGTGAGTGTTGATAGTTGTAAACTTTTGACTAATATTTCAATTGTTGATAGGTGAGAAGAAACACATCCCCTAACGTTCTTACAGAAGGAGAAAATGCAAAGTCACTTCTGGTTGGCCTGGGGTGAATCACCAGACTCCAAGTTCCAGGAAAACTGGGCTAGCATCTGTTTGTTCCCTACAGAGTGTCCCCAGAGCCTGGCACCCACAGGTACTCCATAAATGTTTGCAGAATGGAGGTAGGGAGATTAATCAGGGATTTCTTTTCAAGCCCAGGACCTTGCTAGGCACTCCATGGTCCTGGACTAGCCAGCCCACATGCTTGGATACTGTATCATGCACTCTACAAATCCAGCAATCATTTAGAAAGATATCCAGAAAGGGCAGCATGGTATAGCAGAGCAAGCCCAGAACCAGGCGCAGGTGGCTTGGCATCCAGCTCTGGCCTACCACGATTCAGCAGTGTGACCGTGGGCACCTTAGTCCACCTCTCTAGGCTTCATTTTTATCACATGCAAAATGGAGCACTGAACTACATGACCACTAAGATTCCCTCCACTGTTAAGTTTATAATTTTCTATATTTAGTGATATTGAGAATGATAAATTTGCTACACGGGCTTACAGGAGAAGCAGCAAATCAATGGTTAACTATACACTGTATTTCTTCTTCAAAATGTAGCCATGCATCAAACCAAAAACAATTAAGCTGTTTTATAATAAAAAGAGATTATGTTAATATCGCCTACCTGGCTCAGCCCCAAATCATCCATCAGTATTCTGCTTTGCTCCAACTCACTGTCATGATGTTGATGTAAAAATAAGCTTGATATGGGAGTCGATGCAGAGCAAATTATACGCACCTGAAATAGAAGAAAATGAGTAAATGTGTTACTCTTTACATTTCACAAGTTGAAGGTAAGAAAAATCTCACAAAATAAAAATCTGTTTTTCACATACAGAAGCTTGGATCTTTGCTTTTAAGACGTCCATATATTTTTTTTCCTAATTGTTTATCTCTTTAAAGCAGTGTTTTAAAACTGCATAGTACTTTTCAGAATATTTCCACACAACTCCTACCACCCTGTGAAGTAGGGCACAAAGGTTTATTGGGAGACTTCAGGGCTGGACAGGACTCAGTTCAAGACGTCAGCCCAGATCTTCAGTTCTTAGTCCAATGCTTTTTCCATTACTGCTCTGGTTTGAATGTTTTTGTCCCATCCAAAATTCATCCTGAAACTTACTCCACAATGCAACAGGATTAAGAGGTGTGGCCTCTAGGATATGATTGAGTCATGAGGCTCTGCCTTCACCCATGGGATTCGGTGCCCTTATACAGAATTTGATGGAGGGAGTTCACCATTTTTTGCCTTCCATTCCTTCCACCATGCAAGAACACAACATTTGTGCCCTCTGGCAGCAACAAGGCATCATCCTGAAGCAGAGAGTAGCCCTCACCAAATACCCAAACCTTCTGGCACCTTGATCTCAGACCTCCTAGAACTGGAAGAAATAAATTTCTATTATTTAAAAATTACCCAGTCTATGGTATTTTGTATAGCACCACATACTGACTAAGATGATTACACTGTGATGTTGACATTTATACCTGGCTGTTTGGAGCTGGTCTGTGCACCTAAGATGCTCCCCAGAGACACTGTGAAGAGGTTAGTTACCCTTTTGCTGCACAGCAGACTGCTAAGTTCAGTGCATTGCTATTCTAATTAGGCCAGTGATATTAGTATCCTGCTAGGACCTTCTTCAAAAAGACTAAGATTTACATTAATATCTCTTGATTATGTAAGTATTTGAGTGAGTGTTCATATGTGATCATATATTGGAAACAGCTTTTATATCTTTTATATCCACTAGTTTAAATACAAAACATATTCTTTTTGATGTTTTAAAAGTCCTGAATTTGTCTTCAGGATTCATAACTATCTTTTAAAATAATTATTTAAATAATAATACACCAGTACTTAAAAATCATGTGTTGACATTTGACATTAGATTTTCCATATTCAAATGGCCTTCTACCTCTTATAAGTTATTTTAATCAAAGACACTTTTTCATTATTTACATGGGACTATCCTCCTTTCACAAATCTCCATGAATACATTATAGAATAATGTCTGTTTAATGCTCCCAATTTCTGAAATAAAATGGTTTTGACTACACTTTAATAAAGAGTGTAATCTCTAAATGTGTGATTTAGTTAAAGGGAATGTTAGGAGGGTAGTTTGAGTATTCCATCATATTGCCAGATAAATTCTTTTTTTCCTTCAATTAAGAAGTGAAAAGGTGGGGGTGAGGTAGGGTTGGGGGTAGGACTGAGGGATGGGGGCCATAAGCTTTCTCTAAGGCATTCCTAGCTGAAATATCAAAATAACAAGTCTCTCAATCCTCCACTATGAGCCATCCTAATCATGCCCCTCCGTCGTTTTCTTCTTGAAGCCTAGTCCTGTAAAAACAGCAGCCTCCAGGCCCCCGCCCTTCATTCCACCCCTGCCCTCCCCACCATTAGTGTAGAGTCGAGTCCGTGGAAGGCAAACCACTCACAGCTGATGGGCCTCCATCCCCCAGCTCTGCGTCCTCAGCCTCCTGCCTCTCCAGATTCCCTGGTCACACGTGTGTGGGCTCCACAGGGACACACAGCAGCTTTTGATAGCACTCCCTTAGGTGGCCTCCCCTCAGCTTCTGTGTCAGAGCCACACTTGCTGCCTTTCACACTCGGCCCATCCCGGAGCCGTTGCTGCAAACTCCCCATGCTGGTTACCCCTTTCATTCTGTGCATAGAGTTTAGCCCTCGCTCTTCTCAGCATTTATAGGAAGCACCTGAGAAACATGGGAACATGCAGTTCCTGGCCCCATGCCTGGTACTCATTTGCTGGGGTGGGGATGGGTGAGCTCTGGAATCTGGATTTTTAAGTAGGCCAGATGGTTCTGCCACAGGTGGCCCTCAGAGGATTTCCCACCCCATAGATCAGTGCACTCTCCCTGCTAGACTTTCACAGTACCATATGCCTCCTTCTCTAAGAGGTCATCCCAAAGTGGTGATTTTACATTGAGTTCTGTGGACATCTGAATCACCTTTCTCTGGTATTAGGCTATCTAAGCTCTTTGAAGGCAGGCACCATCTAGTTTCACTTGCCACTGAATTTCTAGTGTTTGGCATGATGAAGTTTACAGAATGAATGAGCAAATGAAACATTAAATTATCACCTCTCCCTCCCAGCAGATTCTGTGGCTTATCTCCTTCCCACAAAGTCCTTCAATTTAGAATCACTGCTCTAATTCTGTGCAAAGAATAGGGAGAAAAAAGTGTATCTAATGGTAAAATAATATTTAAATTAACTCTAATTTCAAAATGTACTTTTGCTATGAATCTATATTTACAGATACATTCTATTAATAGCTCACCTTTGAGAGCATACCATATGCCAGACAACATTCTTTGTGCTTTACACGCTCATTTAATATTCACAACAACTTCATAAGTACCATTATTATCTGCTTTTTCTAGAAAAGGCAGTTGAAGCTCAGAGAGATTAAGATGGTCTCTAGGATAGACAGCCTGACCCCAGGGCCCACTCTTGAACCACTAGGCTATGCTCCTTTAATGAATGGGCGATGGCTTGGCAATTCACGCTAAAACATATGGATTAAAAATAAACAAACAACAAGATGGAATAATGCTAGCTACTGGGGTTTCTGGGTCATAGGGAGAGAGAGAGAGTTTCAGTATTCAGAAGGGTCCTCTAGTCATCTACTCATTTGTTTTCTTCTCCTCCTTCTCCTCCTTCCCCTCCTCCTTCCTCCTTCCTCCTTCCTCTTCCTCCTCCTCCTTCTCCTTCTCCTACTCCTACTTCTTCTTCTTTTTTTTTTTGAGAGATATGGCCTCACTCTGTCACCCAGGCTGGACGGCTGGAGTGCAGTGGCATGATCATGACTCACTACTGTAACCTTGAACTCCTGGGCTTAAGCAATCCTCCCACCTCAGCCTCCCAACTAGGCAGGATGACAGGCCCACACCGCCACACCCAGCTAATTTTCTTATTTTTTGTAGAGCTAGGATTTTGCTATGCTGTCCAGGCTGGTCTTGAACTCCTGGCCTCAAGCGATCCTCCCTTGGCCTCCCAAAGTGCTGGGATGATAGGCATGAGCCATCATACCTGGCTTGCTCATGCATTATTCTATCAGTGCAATCATTTATTCATGCAACAAATACTTATTGAACATTCAGTCTATGCAAGACATTGTGTTTCAGAATGTGATAGATGAAGCATATAAGCTGCTTGGTAGAATGATGCAATCATTCACACAGCAGAGCGTCTTGTGATGGGAGCTTTACTATAGTACTACTGCTGCTTTACTGATAGTGCTTATACAGCATTCAGCTTGTGCCAAATGTTTTAAATGCTTTACATGGATTTGCCTTTTTAGTCATCACAACAACACTCAGAAGTAAATAATATTATCATCCCCAATTCACACATGAAGGAATGGAGGCACAAAGAGGTGAAGTAAGTGATAGAAGTACATTAAGTCAGGATTCCAGCCCAGGCGATCTGGCTCCACAATACAAAGTGTTTAGTTTTAAGAAAATGTACTACATCCTTACCTTGAGATCATAAAAGTTATCGATGAGAGTTATGAATCTTCGACCTTGAGTCCTGTTTGCCAGAGTAAATTGCGGAATGTTTCGTAAAAATATTGTATCAAAATTCTTTGATAGTTCCAAATAGTCACTGGCTCCAAGTGGCTATGATTAAAATGAAATAAAGAAAATTTAAAAATAAATCAATTCTGGTTGCCTTTGGATTGGTTTAGTGTGAAAACACCTCTTTCTTGTCACGGTGTGATCTAGGCGGTAGCTTTGGGTAACTTGACCAAATGGGGCAGTGTTTTCAGAGCAGGCTAAGGACACAGAAAACGTACACTGTGTTGCCTTAATAGTGATGTAAAAAAGGGGTAAGAGAGAAGACAAGAGTGTAGTGGGGAGTTAAAGAATATCTGTAGCCACAGCCTTAGCTGGTAGTCTTTAGGTCTCTCTCCAAATTTTTATTTCTATGACATCACTTTAAATATGTCCTAATAAATCCTTCCCGTGACTCAACTGCAAACTGCCAGTATTGGTCAATGGAGCTATTTGACAACGGCATGCTGAAGATTATACCGCCATTTTGAAATAAAGACTGTGCGTCAGTATGAAAATCATCAGAAATTATTTTTAGTTTAATTTAAGGTACAATTATTCAACTGCAACACTGCTAACCTCTGCAGGAAATACTGAAGGGCTTAAGTGAGCAGGAGCAGATGAGAGCCCCAGAATAACTGGAGGCAGGGCACTGCCTCTTGATACGAGGAGCATTTGGGACTCAAGGTCCACAATATTATTCATAAAAGTGCCACCTACAGATGTAAAGCACTTGTTTCTGAAACATGAATTTAACTCCTGAACATTAGGAACACGATCTGCAAACACATTATTTGGGGTTAGGAACACTCCCAGGAAATGTTACCTCTGCTCATTTTAAGCTGCCTGTGGATGACTGTATTCTGTGAGCAGCAAACCATGAGCAAATGTTGGGAGAGTGTTTCTGGCCCCGCTGGAGTCGGGAGAAGGCAGAGACCGAGTGGCCCAGGAGCTGCTCTGAAGTCCCTCTGGAAGCTTCTGGGTCACCCTGACCGACCTCTAGGACACAGGTGGCTGAGCCTCCTCAGTTTCTGGCAGAATCCATCATTACTCCTCCCTGTCCAGAAATGTCTATCTCATTTGGGAAGTCCTTTGCATGAAACTTCTTTCAGAAATGTTGATAAGGCGATATTCCTGGGAGAATTAGGAAACTGTGAGGAGGAGAGTCATTCTCACCTTTGTCCATTCACTTAAGCCTACCACTGTCCTACCAACCAGCTGAAATCAGTTATGCTCAGGAAAGAAGAATTTGCATGGAGGTATGGGGAGGTACAAGTGGGAGGTACAAGTAAATCCAGAGAGTTAGGTTCTGGAGAAGTGGTTCCCTACATAGAGAGCAGTTCTAAGAAGGATGCAGCAATTATGGGACCTAGGCAATGGGCACAAAACCAGAGACAAAGAACACCAAGAATGACCCGAGTCCTTTGGAAATGTGCTGACCGTGCCCCTTCCTCCCATCTCTTCTCACCAACCAGATAACAAATGGTGGCCAGGAGGAGGCAACCTCCGCCCTTCCCATTTTCCTTCCCTGGCTGGAGAGCCTCTACCTCCAGACCCTGTGCCTGGCCTTAGCTGAGACAAGCCGGAGGGTTCCAGTGTGCTGTGGGTTTTTCTGGGAGTGGGGTGGGGTTGGTTTAAACTTGCTTCTCTTCCAAGAGAATCCTGCTATTGAGCCCAATACAGACCAGAAGCACGTGTTAATAGAGAAGCTGGGGGTGGGGGCTCTGAAAGGCCTGGATCTGACTCCTCAGTTGCTACTTATCAACTGGGTGCCACTGGCAAGTTACATCATCTTCCTGTTCCTTAGTTTTCTCATTTGTAAAATGGGGATTTGATTCCTATCTGACAGAATTGTGAGGATTAAATAAAATAATACATGCAAAGCATTTAGCACAGTGCCTGAGGCATACATTAGTATTCAAACCATCTTAGTGACTTTTATTTTTATTATTTTGAGCTCAAATGATTGGGCTCAGTACAAATGAATTGAGTATATCATTCTCAAGAGGAATCCAAGACCCTAAATCAGCCTTTGTGCACTTGTCTGTCTTGGGAGTCACAGCAGGCACCAGAGGAGACTGTGGAATCACCAAATAGTGAAAACAATCCCCGAAAAGGAGAGAAGGGAGGGCAAAATACAGTGTCTTTTTGTAAAAAGGAAAACTCATACATTAAGACTCTCATGCTCTGAAGGTACACTACTTTTTTTGAGCTCAGTTAGGATTTAGTGTCTCATCTTTTGTAAACCAGAAAGTATATGTAAAAAAATGTAAAACCTCATATTAGGTATGTAGTTATGTATAATTAAGCTCACTCTTTATGCATGGATGTGATTTCTATCAGAATAACTACATGCCCAAGGAAAATCATTATCAGAAGTGCACTGAAGTGCCTAGGGCAACTGAAAATCAGAATTTTGCCCATTCAGCTATTTCACAAATTATATACCTTTGGCAGTAGGTTCTGCATTTGCCATTATATTAGCAACTATTCCTTCCCCTCATATCCCTAAAACAATTACATGCTCATTCACATAAAGAAAACAAAGCTCAATAGAGTTATCTGTCTCCTTTCAAGACAACCATCATTGGGCAAATGTGGAATTATTGTTTAATACGTTCAGTTTAGGATGAGGAAAAGTCCTCGAGGTAGACAGTGTTGATCACTGTACAACGATATGAATGTACTTAATGCCTCTGAACTGTACACTTAGAATTAGTTAAAATGGTCAATTTTATGTTATATAGTATTTTACTACAATAAAAAAAAAGTCATTCAAACAAAGAGAGGTTATTCGTTGCCAAAGAGATCTCTCTCAATTTAAGCCATGAAGAGATAGCAATGTTACTTTTTTCTTTAAAAACATGAGAAAGAAGAATGAAATGTAGTAATCAAAGAAGGAAGTTTCCCGCCTGCCCTCAAAAAAAAAATGAGGTCCAATAAGAATAGGACTAATTTAAAATAATGACATTTTGGTTTTTAATAAATTCATGGGTAAGCATATTTTTAAAAAGAAAAGTTCAAAAAAGTAAAAAATAAAAAAGAAAATAATAAATAGGAAAGATAAACAAGAAAAACAATTCAGTTGGCTCTCCATATCTGTGGGTTCCACATCTGCAGATCCAACCAACTGCTGATCAAAATATTTGAAAAAAAAAAAACCACAAAAACCAACACAAATATTAACAAGCAATACATTATAACAACTATTTACATAGCATTTACATTGCACTAGGTATTATAAATAATCTGGAGATAATTAAAGTATAGCAGAGGAAGCCAGGCCCAGTGGCTCACGCCTGTAATTCCAGCACTTTGGGAAGCTGAGGTGGGTAGATCACTTGAGCTCAGGAGTTGGAGACCAGTTTGGGCAACATAGTGAAACCCCATCTCTACAAAAGATACACAAAGTTAGTCAGGTGTGGTGGTATGTGCCTGTGGTTGCACCTATTCAGGAGGCTGAGGTGGGAGGATTGCTTGAGCCTGGGAGTCTGAGTTTGCAGTGAACTGAGATCACCACCATTGCACTCGAGCCTGGTCGTCTGAGACCTTGTCTCAGAAACAAACAAAAAATACGGGAGGATGTGCATGGGTTATGTGCAAATACTACTCCATTTTATATCAGGGACTTCAGGATCTGCAGATTTGGTGTCTGTGGAAGGTCCTGGAACCAATTACCCATGGATACAGAGGGGTGACTGTACTCTAAAGTAAACCAGTCAAAATCCATGACACAGCCCAGGTCAATATGCTCCCATTTAGAGCATGTCTTAATTTTAGCAATTTTTTCCCATGTAGGGATGATGATTAGCGTGTTGTCAGTATTTTTCTCCATAAATGTCAGACAATATCAAGTACATCTACCTATGTATATTGCATCTGCTCCATTCCCTTTCTCTTCTCCTTCTGATACTTTAAACGAACCTAGGTTAAATGTCATACTCTCCTTTTATCCTTTATTTTGTATATTTCTTTATTACTTCTCCATGATTCATTTTGGATAGTTTTTCTGATCCACTGTGCTTCTCCTTAGCTGTGTTTAATCTGCTCTTAAGCTCATCCCTTGAGCCCTTAATTTTGGTTACTGAACTTTGTAGCTCTAGAATTTCCACTGATTCTTTTTCAAGGTTCAGATGTCTCTTTTTGTTATCTCTAGATCTCTTCTGAAGCATAGTTCCAAGTCCATTTTTTTTTTAAAAAAAAGCTCTTTGAATATGTAAGTCTAGTTGTTTAAAATATGGACTCATAATTCAAATATCTGGAGTTCCTAATTTTATTGTCTGCTGTTTTTGTTTGTTCTCATTCACAGTGTCTTGTCTCCTCATATGCCTGGTTATCTTTGTACATCCTGGATTTTACCACTGAAAAAAAATACATACAGAAAAAAATCTGGCCGGGCACAGTGGCTCACGCTTGTAATCCCAGCACTTTGAGAGGCTGAGGTAGGTGGATCACAAGGTCAAGAGTTCAAGACCAGCCTGGCCAAGATGGTGAAACCCCGTCTCTACTAAAAATACAAAAATTAGCCGAGCGTGGTGGCAGGTGCCTGCAATCCCAGCTACTCAGGAGGCTGAGGCAGGAGAATCGCTTGAACCCAGTGGGTGGAGGTTGCAGGGAGCTGAGATCGTGCCATTGCACTCCAGCCTGGGTGACACAGTGAGACTCCATCTCAAAAAAAAAAAAAATATCCAAGCTCAGGGCTTGAGGTTTTCTAAGTATTCAGCTGAAAATCTGGCTGAAGTCTATGAGAGGGCTGGCTTATTTCTGCTTCATGCTAATTCCTAGGTGCAGTCCTTCAGGACTTCAGGATGAAATCTACTCAGGACTTTATCCAAAATTGGGGAGACAGGCAGTTAAATAGGTTCCCATCCATGGATGGCCTTGGTCTCTGACTTTTGTCCCACTAACACAACAAGGCTGCCAAAAGCTCAGCTCAGCTCACCTCATTTTGAAAACAAGATTGCTTAGTACATACCAATATCCATGTTTTTCTCTTCTTTCTGGGCACACAGATAGACTATGGGCACCCTTCATTTTATTGTGCTTCATTTTACTGCATAAATTCT